TAGCTTTATAAAGCAAACTCAGAAGATCTTGGCAAAGAGTTCTAATTCCAGGACAACCTACTGAAAAATTTAACAACAACAAAAAATGGCTCCAATAAATTAGTCATTTCAAGGTTAACACACTTTTAAAATTATCTCTGCATAGTAAACACAGTAGTCTAACAAAATATGTTGTTTCTAATGTATTTGGATGTGCATTTTTATTTTACATGTTTAGTAGCAATTCTGTTAAAGTGAACAACAACTTAAAATGGACCACAACTCCTAATTTCCTCACAGAACTGGTTCTTTCTACTTTTCAGATTAACCATCTGCATTGCTAACACTATTTTCTCAATAGTTCTAGGTCACTTTGTGTAGTATAAAAATGAAAAATTCATAAATTATGTATAAAAATGCACAGAGATATATGAATACATATAAGCTATTTAAAAACACACACTATTATTCACATACGCCAAATGAGTTCACAGCAGCCATATTACATCATGATATTTCTGACACAATTCTATGTCTTTTATCTAAAGACATGAAAAACCAGGAATGTCAATGCCCATTGTAAATATGTTAAGAGCATATTGTAATATGCATATAAAATTTTGATGCAAATGTTGAGAAATCCTGATAATGTTGCTTATTATTTTTCATAAGTAATCTTCACAATGAATATTACTTTTACTAAAGCCATACTTCAACACATAGCTACTTTTAGCATTCTGTGTCCTTCAGTATTCAATTTTCTCATAGTTTTGCATCAGTTTCTTAGAATAAACGAAACACCATCATTCTCTACATCATATTTGTTATCAGCTTGTCTTAAGACTGTCATGCCCAAAGTTCTCTTGATTCTATCATTGCTCCAAGTAAAACCGCCTGTCCAGTGATCTGAGTTGTCTCACAGTTTTCCATGTTACAACAAGGCATTTTTTTCTTCTAGTTCCTGTCTTTTATATGATCTTGCTACTTCACACAGATTGTGAGCTCCTAGGTGTCACAGGAAATGTTTTATTCATATTTTGTTTCCTATCAGCATTTTCCCCAGAATGTTTCACAGAACATTTCTTAATAAATGTATTTCGAGTCATTGATCAGCCTGCCAATGCTCAGTTGAAGAATGAGTTTGAGTCCTGTAATATCTAGGCTCCTTTATGGCTCCTACAATCTTGGACAAGAACAATAAAGTAAAGTTGTTACTATTTTAAAGGATGATCAGATAGAGTGGCCTGCTAGCCTGTCCATCTTTTTGCAGTTTATGAAGGCCCAGAGTGACATAAAATTTTATAAATGCTTTAAAAGAAGTCAAAGACATGCTTACTCTTTATTATATAAAACTATTTAAAGAAAAACAAAGAGGCACTATTTTTTCTTGAGTAATTTTAAGTATCACATAATGTTCACCTTTGTATTTCATTCGCAATTTGTTTGTTCATATGTGAAACTTTTAAAGTAAATTAAATGAAGTATGGTACACTTTAAATATTCTGGATGAGAGTAAGGCCACAGAGAGACATAATATTTCCTAATGGTGCTACATTGTAGAAAATCACAGAGGTCTGGCTTAATATAACCTTTTCATTTGTACCAATTACATCCGTAACACTCAAAATGGCAATGCTTTGACAGTGATGCAGGCATGCAATGCCTTCTCAGCAGAGGAAAGATGCATACAGAAAAGGCACACAGAGACTGTATTTAATGCATTAGCAAATTGAGTTTTTCTTTTGAATATGAATACATATGGATGTAATATGATTCATACTATATTGGAAAAGGATCTTAATTTTGCTTTACTGGAAGCTTGTACTTTTATTTCTCCCTAAAAGCCACCCCATGAATGCCATATGCCAGTATTCTATCTGATGTGTTAATTTGTTAACAAATGCAGAACTGATGATTTAATGTCTATACTTTTTATCTCTTTAAAAACTATTGTCTTCCTTTTATAAAATTGCAATAAAGTAAATGCTGTTTTTTAATATCTCAAAGACAATAGGGTTGAGAAATCTGAAACTGTGTGGTAAGATGGGAAACAAGGTATAAAAGTTATCCTTTGGAGATCCACCATCGAGGGTCATACCCTCCCTGTGGAATGGAGTGGGGATTGGGTGGGATGCTGGGGACTGGAGGGACTAGGGGAACTGGGGGGCGGAGAAGGAGGGGAGGGAGAAGGAGCTTGTATTGACATGTGAAGCAAGCTTGTTTCTAATTTAAATAAATGAAAAAAGAGCACTTGCTAACCTGACAGAGGACTCTGTTTCAAATCCCAGAACCTACAGGGCAGCTCACAACTGTCTATAACTCCACTGCCGGGAAATCTGACACCCTCTTCTGGCCTCAGCAAATTCACAGTGCACAGATTTACAATCAGGCAAGAAACCCTATTTCCTCAGAAGACTGTTATTTCCTTGTCTATACATGTTGAAAGAGGGTTTTCAGACTGAAAATTAATGGAAATACATATTTACCTCCACCATGCCATTGTATAATGTACAATGATTGTCATTTATTGGGATGTATGTGAATACAAAATAATCTTTGAAATAAGTAGCAAAATGGCAGCTGAAGAGACTGCTCAGAAGGTAACTGTACATACTATCCTTCTGAGGAATCAAGTTTGGTTCCAAGCATTCATTTCAGGCAGCTGTCAATTGCCTGTAATTCCAGATTCACACCATCTTGTGGATTCCACAAGAATCTGCATGCATATTCATTTGCAGACATACACACACATACAACATAAAATAATGTTTTTCAAAATTAGCCAATGTTCTTGTCTATAAAATGTCAGTATTAAATACTTTTATGACATTTAAGATAAATTTTCATGAAAACATAACAATGCAAATACAAAAGTTTCATATTAAGACTGTTCATGATTTTTACTTATTTAAAAAGGGAAATACAATTAAACACATATCAGAGCAAATTTTCATTACTGCTGATTCACAGAGAGATATGAGAATTCAGGCCACTCAACAAAAAAGAATGCTGGTAAGAGAACCAGTTTTCAAAGACTGCATGAGATTAAATATAGTAAATAAGGTATAACATGTACCTCTTTAAAAACATCATAAATGCATGGAGAAGACAAACATATGCAATTAAATTCAGAAAAAAGTGTACTATGAATGTTAGTTGTTAATATTATGAAAATAACTTAAAATAATAAAATGTTTGAAGATAACAGTATAAGACTGAAGTCAAGAAGTTACTTTGATAATTCTAAACACAAAATTTAATCATTTTAAATTGCTGAAGACATGCCTGCCTCTTCGTTTTTGAGAAAATAATGTGAGATTGTTTTTTACTTCCAACTCATCTTCCTTAGTTTTCAGAAAGGTAAAACAAGTGAAAAAATAGTGGACAGAAATGTTCTTTCACTGGTAAAAGTCATGGGATCTTGAAATACATTGCCTGGAATTCATCATTTGGTCTGGCTCTCTCTTTTAGAGATCAACCTTAGAACTTACTTAAACTTTTCTAACACCACTGACTATCCATTTAAACCCATTTTGTTTCTCCCTTCTTATAATTACTATATACCATTGACACTGTCTTACTTCATGTATAATGTTCTGAAACAGCAATGGTTTCTCAGGAAAACTTCAACAATATGACTAAGAATGGAATTAGTAAAATGAAAATAAAATTAAGATAAAAACCACAAATGGACTCCTTAGAACTCCTTAGATGTCCTTATATGATATTGTTTATTGTGTCCCTAAATAATGGTAATGTCAGTATGCTTTCAGCACCTTTTATACTCTTCGTCACTGGAAAAGATTATGCTCCCAATCATTAAACTAAATAATTTAAGTGGAAGTACCATTATCATCAATATCTGATGTATGTGTTTTGTGAGCATGAATTGGAGGTTTTATCTTTATTAAATTGATTAATATAGAAAGACTGAGATCTTTGGATATAGGGAAGGGCCCCTAAACTGTGTAGAAATGAAGAAACATGCCTAGATGAAGAGCTTCAGGCATTTAATACCGACTGAGAGAAAGTCAATCTTATCCATGATCAAGTCCCCAGATATATTATCTGATCATATGTCATCAATCCTAAATGCATGTACATAGGGGCAAAGCTAAATAAACTCGCCAGGCTGCATGTATAAATTTATATGTGATATATATGTATGATTTACATATATGATCATACATATATAAAACAATTAATTGATGAATGAGAGGCTTAAAGAGCAAAGATTCCAAGACAAACACTGGAAAGAAGCAAATCAGCATGTATGCATTTGTTCTATACGTTTGATTTTTTTATATGATGTGGTCACCTCGCTTATGTTCCCACTGCCATGGTGGTTTGTAACAAGGAATTATGAGCAGAAATGAACCCTTATATTTTAGTTGATTGTTGTAAAGAAATTTTAGAGCAGGAAAATAAATTAAACTAGATTAGTCACTAAATGAGGATATATATTACAAACTTAAGCACAAAGCTCATAATCTAGGATTTATTTTCTCTATTATGTTCATCCCAAGCTATACAGATCATTCATCACATTAACTAACACACACACACACACACACACACAAAAGACACTAGCAGATCTCAGATGCGAGTGTGTAGATAATTTGAAGTGCTTACATACCATAATTGTATTATATCAAAGTGATTTTTATAGCAATGTGTCTAGTCTAATTTTAAATGGTAATTTAAATTAATTGCCTACTTATGTTGGTATTGTTTCGTTTTACAACCAGAAACAATAAGGTTAGTAAATGCAAGCTGTCCCAAGAGGTCAATTATAATGATTATTTGATCAATCTTTAATTTAATTAATCAATTAAAACCTTACTGAATTAGTAGAGAGGCTGTGTGGTTCTTATCCTGTTGAAAGTTTTATTCTATGGCTTACCGCAGACAGAATATAGCAGTTTATTTGTTTCAAACAAGAAAGGACCATTACAGACATTATGAGTGTGAACACAGGGACACTGATGAGAATAGTAAGAAAGAGGAAAAACAACCTTTACCTCACGGGGCTGTTGGAAGAATCCGGGTCATGAGCTGCTACAGTCCCAATGATATTCCCCACCTGTGTAGCTTCTGAAACTTCCATGGGGTACAAGGGTGAAGAAAACACAGGGGGCTCATCTACATCTTCCACAATTATCTTTACAGTTGTGGTGTCACTGAATGGACCCAAACTTAGAAAGCGGGGATCAGCATCACGATTTGCAGCTTCTATGCGCAGTGTGTAACTTGTTTTGGCTTCAAAATCAAGTTCCTGTAAAGTAAGTTATTAGGGAAATTAAATTACCAATTAGACAGCAAAGCAAACCTTTTCATTTATGATTGTCAATAACTGTAGAGGAGATTCTATCAAGAAAATGCACCATCAGCATTCAAACATATAAGACTTTCTGCCCATATGAGTCCTGCTAGTTTTCTGGCTCAGACCATGGTAAGTGCTTTGAGTGAGCTTAATCCATTCTACTGCCATGCATTTCTGGGAGAAACACAAGTCTTCCTAACATTATCTGAAAGAATATGGTCTGATTTAAAGTATTTTCAAACAGGGCATCAGTGTGATATTCTTAACTCATATAATCTATTTACCTTACTCAGGAATACATGTCAAAATGGAAGAAAAACCTTGTGTCCACTCAATCTTTCACTAAAAAGATAAGTGCCTTAGGGTTTTATGCTCATATTCTGAGTTTTTGGGTACTCAAAATGTAGAATTAGAGGCAGTGGAAGAGAATGAATGTGTCTCAGACACTTACCACAGCCCTTATATAAGGCATTACTCCTTTCTATAGGACACTCACTAATGCTGCTTTCGTTACCAGCCCATTGCTAAATACAAAAGCTCTCTACTGATACCTATATTTCAGAATTTTAAATTTGTATGTGATTTCCTAAGTGGACTAACGATGTTAAAATACTATTCAAAATCAGTCAGTGGAGGCTAGATTACAAAAATTAAATATTTCACTAAAAAGCACCATCTGTCCAAAATAAGAACTATATATGTAGTATGAAGATGCTTGCAACAATAACATATGGAGAATGACAGCGTTTCATAGCTCTTGCTCCCAATCTTGTCATTGAAAACTCCTCAAATATTCTATACATAATGACCAAAACAGAAAGAGTTAAAAGCAAAGAACACGATAGAAATATAGCCAGTTCCAAGGGACATTTTATTTAGTAGAAATATTTGACAAGAAATAAATTGAAAATATAATAAGTGATGGTTGGAATGCAAATTTACCTACTGAGCTTACAGGCATATGTGTGCACATATGTGGGTATTCAGATACTTCAACTCATCTCCAAAAGTGTAGGAAATCAACTAAAATGTACTTTAAATGATTCACATAATATGAAAACCGTTAACACATGTTACATGAAAAAACATACACTATAATCTATTTGTCATATAAAGTATATAATAGTTATACTCACAGTACCTGTAGTTTAAACAACATTTTTCAAACTGTGATGCATTATGTATTTAATTATAGTATATATTATAATGTAATCTTATTATTTTATGTTAGTAAATGTAAAATATACAGATATTTATATATTATATATACTATACTACCTCTAGTATAAACTATATTTTGCATAAAGGTACCAGCAATGTCATACACATATTCATATCACATACACACACTATACAATATTTATTACATAATGAGATTCTGCTTCTCCTATTTGGCTAATGTAAAAGTAAAAATATAAATTGATAACACACCATTGGTTCATTTCTAAACATTGACAAATCTTACTGACACACATATATTTTTCATGAGATAGTTGTTACACATATTGTTTGCTTCCAATGTGTTCCTTTCAGTATTCAATTTTCTTTAAATTTAGAGAATAAGGCAAATACTAACCACTGAATTGAAGCAAAAAAATCTTAATTAAAGCTTTGATACTTTTGCACAAATCACTTAGAAATCGAATTACACTTTTGACCCAATGATTCTGACATCACAAATAGGAGACAAGGGAAAAAGCACAATGTTGTATATTTTGTTTCTAATCACAAACAACAAAGTGAAACAATGCTAACTTTAAATAAATCCATGGAGAATTAATGGTGTAAATCAAATCCTGGTTTCCAAATTAAAATCCTGGATAAGCAGTAACACATACCTTATTAGAAATTCTGCAGTATATTAATGAGCCAATTTTGTGTACAGGTTTTTATTATTATTTTATTGAGGGCACTATATAATTTTCCCATCCCATACAAGGGTATACCTGTGGAGATGAGAGGACAATTTTGTGGAGTCAGTGGTTTCCCTCCACCTTTACTTGGGATCCTGACATCAACTCGAAATTCCGTGTTTGTTATGGAAGGACTCGTCCCTACTGAGGCATCACCTCATACCCTCCCTCTTTGTCTGTAATTTAAAAGGTTATAGAGCCGAGGCTCAGCACTTTCCTGCTCCTTTTGTCAAGGTTTTATTCATAATACTCAGGATATGCACATGTCTTTTTAAGAGGTACATCAGCTAATTCTCACAGAGATCCTCATTTAGATAGATTGTAAGTGGGGGTGCCAAGATGACAATAGAGGATCTGTATTCACCTGAAGCATTTATACCCAGACCTTGCCAGACTATGAACAATTTGTATACAACATTATTTCAGTCTCATTTCCTTAAATAAATACGAAACCATAAGAGAAAGTTTCTTTTTTTTTTCTAAAGATTTATTATGTACACACTGTTCTGCCTGCATGTCAGAAGAGGGCACCAAGTCTCCTTACAGATGGTTGTGAGCCATCATGTAGTTGCTGGGAATTAAACTCATGACCTCTGGGAGAGGAATCAGTGCTCTTACCTTCTGAGCCATCTACCCAGTCCGCAAATGAAGGGTTCTTATTCAAAATTATATTTAAATAAACAGGGAAGGTTAAGGTTCCATTTCCCATCTCTTTGCAAACAAGCACAAACTCTAAACTACTTTTAAGCTATTCAATAAGGATTTCAACATTTCCAAAAGTTGTAACAAGTACTTCTATGTTCAAGGAAAAGTTTCTCTTATCTACACAAGATTAATTTAAAATTAACGCTATTATATGGTACTAACATTTTAAACAGGACTCAAAGACAGCAATATGAACTATAGCATCTGAATTCAATAAATTAATATAAATACAGAAGTACATATGAAGATAATCTTTGTAGAAGCATTGTGGAAATAGAATAATCAATGAATTTATACAAAGTATTATAAACCAACATTCCAAGATTGTTACATGAAAAAACAGTTGCAGAACATGTCAAGATAAGTCATGGATCCAATTGTTCAAAGGGGAAGTGTTTTATAAAATTTGATAAGATTATGTAATAACTAGAACTTATTTTAGAAATTACATTCTAATTAATTGTTTTCTTCCTCATTATTGATTTGTTGCACAGGAAATACATTTAAAACTATTATACTTGTTTATCAAGATATTCCTAAACAAAGTGGTAATGAAAACAGAAAAAAGACACAGGGGGGAAAAATGACAGACATAGGGAAAGAGAGAGTCTGCACTTGTTCTTTTTAATGTCTCAGACTCATAAGACTGTAAATTATATAACAAACCAGGATCACACAAATGATTCAAATGCATAGCAACTAGATTAATGAGGCTGGGAGTCCCTGATTCATGAAGATCACAATTAGTGAAGTCACAAAGCTATTATAGAACTACAGGTGCCACTTCTTCATCTGTGGATTCTGGTGGTAGAAAAAGGAACAAAGGCAAAAGCAATTGGTTTGATAAAACTCATCCACTGACTGTAAAAGAGACTTCCTCAAATTTACTATCAGCAAGAATGAAAAAGTGACATTAAAATAAAATTATATCTAAAGCCAGGGTTTGCTGGTTTCCTACATAAAACTAGACAGTAAACCTCAGATTTTGCAGGCCATATGCCTTCTGCCACATGTGAAGAAATGGGCATAGTCATACATCAGTGATTCCACTCAGATGAACACAGTTTCAAATTCTCAGTAATTTCTGTGTATCATAGTGATTCCTTGTTTTCCAGTGACTTAAAATCATAAAATATTGTGACACATGATTTCTATGAAAAATGAGTACAGTTTTTTTAACCACTCAATAGAAAATCCACAGATGGCAAGGATAAAACTCATGCTGTCTCCAATGGCCACAGGTATACTTTTTTTTGTACTAACTGATCACTCCTCTTCCTTCCAAATCTTTCACTACAATTAAAATGAACTATACATAGAGAGAGCACAATGCTACCTGCTGTTCCTCTTTCTCTTGTAACTTCATTTTTTACATTCATGGAAAATGTTGTAGAGACCATTGTCTTCTGTATGGACAACTCTCTATTCTACTTGCATAAGAAATGATAGGTCTTTATATCAAGAAAAATTCCATTCCAAGTAATTTGTGTTCATATTTTTAAGATGCATTTGAATTTTTTAAAATTATGTGTATGCATGTATATCTGTGTGAGGGCATGTGCATTTGAACACAGTTATTCAAGGGCACTAGAAGAGAATATCAGATCCCCAGAAGCTGGAATTATAGGCAGGTTTGGTCAATTCCAGAAGTAAGCTAGGAACTGTGCAGCAGTAGTACATGCTCTGCAATTCTGAGTCATTTCTCAAACCTTTTGTTCAGATGTTTAAAACGCATTTAAGTAAATGTGAAAAAAATATTTGTTTTGGGTTGATTACTTATGAGCTTTCAAACTGTCATTCTCCTAACTTAACTACCCATATGTCACTGGGAGGTGACATAACCCTGCCTGTTAGAAGAAGCTTCCACAGTCTCCTTGCTCTATATGTCTTATAATAGGACAATGAGCAGAGTCATCTCAGAGCTAAGGAGAAGGTAATCAGCTGGATTCCGCCATGACTTTGTATTGCCGAAGTTCTAATTGCAAAATAAAGAAATTTTCAATATTTTTTCATCGCCACCCTTTGATGCGAGAAGCCAATGCAATATGGAATATATTATTTACAAACAGTCTGGGGGACAGAAAGCATGGCAGGCTTCCCAAGAAAAGAGAGAGACAGAATAATTTTGCTTTCTTTAGATAGCCCACCTGTCTAATTTTCATATCTCAACCATTTTGGGTGGTTAGCTTTCTGAGCTCATCCCTACAACCCTTTGTTATTTTATTATAGAATCTTCAATGAGACTGTACAGCATTTTTAAGATTTGTGAAAACTAAATAGTAGAATGATTTAGAGAAAGTTCCAAACGTCTATTTTTCTGAGAAAGCAATACAC